AAAGCTTATGGTCCACTGTACAAAAAAATGTGAATGCGAAGTACTGTGCTGTTAAAATTTTGTTTCTCATCGACAGAAATATAGGCAAGACTATTGAAGATGTTTGCTTGTCTTATCCATTGGCCGACGTCTTCCAAAATTCACACGATCTCTTATTTTCAAGACTCTTTTATTCTTAGATATTACTAAATTATGCTCCATTATTTTTCCTCTGCAATTACGCTGTTCCTCTTGGCTCAGAGGTCACTACCATCAGGAGATTTTTTATGTTACATACTGAGATGCAATAATGTTAGATTATGAGATGCCTTTGTGGTACAGTACTTGAGGTGCTGTGGTACTATTGGTTTAAAGGTGCTTTGGTGTTTGTGGTTTAGCTGTGTGGCTGATAGTCTGCAAGATTCTGGGGGTTATTTTTGATATCTTAAATATTGCGATGCTGGTGGTACTGGTAAAATGAGAGATGATGTGGTGTTGGTAGATTGTGAGATGATGTGTTGCTGTTGTTTTTTGGGGATGGTTGTGATTCTGGTGGTTTATGAGGTAGTTCACAAGGTGTCTTTGTGTTGAAGCTCCAGATGCTGTGCTACTGGTAAAATGTGAGATGATGTGGTGTTGGTAGATTGTAAGATGTGTTTTTTAGGGTGGTTGTGATGATGGAGTTTGAGATGGTTTAGTGCGGAAGGTTAATGTGATATGCTGGTGATGGTTCACATGATCAAAAGAGCGAGAATAGTGTGAGATGCTCTAGTGCTTAAGTGAGATGATTTGGTAATGATGTTCTAATACACTGCATATACCACACTCAGATTTTTTACACATGAAATATAATATTGTATGTAGATACAGTATTATAAAGTCAGTTGAATATAAAAAAATATACATTATATTCAAACAGTAAGATACAAATAATTCCAATGATAAATGTAATATTGTTAATTAAGCTTTTATATTTTCTAGCCCGTTGTGTATGTTATGTATTATGTGTAAGTAAATGAAACTAAATTTCTGTAATATATGGTGTTATGTCACCATGAGCATAGAATTTCCATACCGGTAACGGTATTTCTATTCTTGAAAGACAATACCTGTAAATATATTTAGTATTTTTAAAAAAATGTACATTAAACGATATTTCCCAAAAATTGTTTGGTTTTATTTGTTGCTAGTTTCAACCATTTTCGGTCGTTTCTACTATCACTAAAGCCGCAGCATATTGACAACAAAACAATCTGGTCTCGCCATCTTTTATGCTGTCTTCCCCTGTTTCTTTAGTATTACTGTATTATTTTCGTCTATATTTTTGTTATTTATATATTTTATGTGGTTGCAGTATATGAATACAGCGCCCTCTATTTTTAGACAACCTTGCAACAACCGTACAGTACCGTGGTATGATTTGTCGTACACAGTACTGTACTCTTCTACAGTGCTGTATGCTGTAATGTAAAGCGTGTCCTGAATAGCTGCTATACGACAAGGAAAATATTAAAATTAACTATAACAAAGGTATGGTTGGTAGAAGAATGAAAACAAAATAGAAAGAGGAGAATTTAAATACAAACTAGATAATTCTCTAAAATTTCAGAAAACTGGAACCTATAGAGAAAGTAAACTGTACTCTTTGTACAATATGAATAAGAAAATTGAAAATAGCAGCTTCAACTTTTGCGATTTAAAAATGATACCATGTTCAATTCCTGTAAAGTGGTGGATCCAGAAATTCAAAATAGAGGGGGCACAGAGGTTTCACAGATGGAAGATCTGTATACCACCTCAACCCCACCATTGTCGGGACTGAGGTAATGAATTGTGATTACGGCACCTCTAGATGGCCAGAAATTGCACTCTCAGACTTAAAATTTGAATGTAATGTTATTTATATCTCCATTTTTAAAAACTTTAGAACAATTGGGGAGGGGCGGGCCCCATCCGCCACTGCTGTACGTTAGTCCTTGCATTTAATCATATATTTTTTTCAACATTGTAATAGATAAGCTACCTTACCTGCATTCAATAATAATTGAATAACTAATAAAAAAAAGCGTGTGTGGTCCCGATATACATTAGCACCCGTGTTCTTAGTGCTAATGCACTAGCAAGTCCTTGTGGCTACTTATTTATGGTTACTGTAAATACTACACAAAAACAGTGTACCAACCAGGCTGTAAGTCGTCAACATTAATTTCATTGAAATAGCTTGCCCTAACCAATTAAACGATTTCAGTCGTGGCTCTCACAACGGTAATGAAGCACTTGGATAAGCTTATTAGTAAACATCTTTTGGCCCATAGCTCCCGTTCCTGGCCCTTGTTAGACTGATTCGCAAATAAATGTGTAAATATCTATGTATTTCTGACGCTCTGGGGCATTTTTGTTCTAACTCAAACTTATATTATAATGATGTAAAGGCAACGTTTGTAAATTTTGCTCCAATTAGCCTAATACATAGAGAAAGAAAATAAATATTTTCTAAGGCATTTAATCCGATCCTGAATATGAATCTGGCGTTTCTTTTTGAGCTGTAAGGGTTCTGACGCCCGCATTGTAAGTTGTACACGGCCAACAATGACGTGGTTTTTGTAGGTTTGAATCCCAGACCAATCAGTCAATGAATGAATGAAACATAACAAGATCAATTCAATCAATTAAATTAAATGAACTTACGCGATTTCACTATCAGCGGAACATGCCTTATACCATGGGGTTAACGTTTATACAAAGATAAGATATACAACAGACAATATGTACAAAATTTATATTGTGATCCTACTTAAAAATACCAAAAAATGTCATAAACTTGCTTGATGCCTGTTCCCACTGGCCGCCCTCATGTAGGAGACACTTGACTGTCGTTGACCATGAAAATGGTTGACAACGCAGCCATCTCTACAAAGGTTTAGGCCTACAAAGAGAGAAAACGTAATACATCTGTAAGCAATCTATCGTGAGCTAAAAAATAATAAATTTTATCAATCTTTAGGCCTATTTTTTTTCTTAAGAAATAGGTAGATCATTAATTTGCCGCTAATACAAAGTGTTATTCAACTTTCTTACTCGTTTCCCCAGAAAATGTTCTTATCCACCCACCCCCAGTTTTTCGCCCAGAAAAGAAGAAAACCCACAATTCGTCGGGGATGAAAAACATTTCTACATTAGTAGACTATCTAGGCATAGGGCCTATATATAAAAGCGATTAAACAAGCCTGTGAAAGAAACCCCTAAATTGCCATATTTTTTGGGGATCCGCCCGCTGAACCACTTTTGAAACATTTTAATCGACACCAGACCACGCTCACTTTGCTCTCGTTGTCGGGGATCTTGTCCCCTCCCCCGATTCCCCCATTTCAGATGTTGGCGCCGTAACTGTGTCTCTTACTGAATTGGTTCGCTATCAGTATAGTGATGTGATTTTAAATTTTTGCCAGTTTTCAAATGCATTTCCTTCTTTTTGTTGGATAATAAATTATTTCAGTATTGAGTATGACGGAAAGGCCGTAATCACTGGTAATTTTGATCTGATTTTTGTGTAATAAAAAATCGATAAATCTACTTTTCTTTCGTTGATTTTGGCAGACCAGTTTGACTTTCCTGCAATACTGGGCAATTACAACCTTACGTCATAATTTAAATTAATTTAAGTCATCGTTTATCAAAATTGTACAGCTGTGTCGAAACGCACATGGCTAATTAATTCATTATGCTAATATTTACTGCATCACATGATCTCTATTAGCGAATGGCGAGGGCGGTGGAATGTCTTTGTTGGCATTATGACGATACCAAACGAAATTTAGTTGATGTGCAATAGGCCGAAGAACAACACGCAAGAAGGCCTAGGCAGGTTTTAGTACCAACCATACTTCCTGCAAAGACGTAAAACGGGCTCGAAAAGTATAATCTTTTCCCACCAAAACGGTCTTTTTTCACCATAATCTGTAAAGAAAGAAGGCGGTAAAAGTACCGGTGAGTAAGTATATTTTGGTTGCTGGGATTGAATATTTCAATATTATTACTGAGTGTGTGAGCATGATGATTGGTTGGTGAATGAGAACGCCGCCATGATCGAAAACTTTATATGGACAGTGAAAAAATCAGTAGTTTATGTATATTTTAAGGTATCTAAACAAGAGTACGTCTTTATTATTACAACTGCAATGACTTCTACAGTAAAACCTCCGGCCTGCGAGCTTTTATGCTAAACGAGTCTAGGCTAGTCCCTGGACCCTACTCTTTAATTCTGATGGTTTGGACTCTATCAAAACTACTTGGCCCGGGCCTAGCTCCAATAGTAGTGCGGATTAGCAACTTTACTGCTCTTCTTCTTTTTTTTTTTTTTTTTTTTTGAAAAAGCATGAAATTAATGATAATACATACATAGGCTCATCAGATATTTGCCGACATCATTCAATTGCAGTTTTTATTGTAATGATTCCAAACTCTCTTCAAGAGAAACGGAAGATAGAGTTCTCCACAGAAAAAAACTATTCACCGAAATGCATGGTGGGAATACAAACAATAGGGCGCCGCGTACGGCTGGATCTAAAATAAAAAATTCTGCCACCGTTACATAACTGTGAATACATAACCTACTTTTAAAGAGGTTGAAATCGCTGCCATTATCCATAAGATACAAACAAGTAGGCATATAAATCAAAACAATGACAAACACAAAAGCGCAGAATCGTTTGACCGGACTCTGATTAGTGATAAAGTTTTCCTCCATTAGTGGAAAAAGGACGCCGTGTGCGTCTGAATACACTTAGCAACAGAAGGGCGCCCTGTACATCTGGACCAAGTATAGAAAACTTGCATTATGAAAAGAGAAGGGCCCAATTTCCACCTCATTTTTGCTATGTGAGTGCTCTATCTTGTATTTCTAGTATCTTTGATCAAAGGTTATAACTGTTATAACTCTGGCATCGACATTCTATGCTTCACACGGCTCTTTATGCTGATCGTCACAAAAACCATAACAACCAAACCATAATTAACCGTCGGCATGTGACAAAATTACCTACGCGAGTGTCGGGTGCCATGATAACCGATAATGGTAAAGGCATATGAATTTTTGCATTACCATTAGACTGAAATTATATTCGTTAATACAACATTCAAGTTAAGTCAAGTTAATTCAAGTTTCGTTTTATGCACCTTAGTCCAACATTGTCAAATGACAGTTTAATGTTATATTAGCACATGAGTTTTTATAAAAATCGTAAATTTTTATTTGCTTTAACTTTTCATTTTGGTAGTCAATTTTCATGAATCAAATTGTAGTTTATAGAAGCACTTAACAAACTCAGATGTAACAGACATTGCCAAGTACCCAAAATTAATAAAATAGTAACTAACACCGTAAAACGTATGACACGCATAGACTAATAATTGACGGCTGTACTCGCAACTAGTTTCGGATTGTCGATGCTTTACTTCAAGAAGTTGATACAACAAAACAAACACTTATTTACTAGCATTCCTTATCACATGGTGGCTTTAGAGTGATATCACATTGAAATAAACACTTTGAAACTTTTGCCCTGATATAGGTATTGCAGGATTTGTGAAATAAGTGGGTTACATGACGAAATTAAAATACTCAGTTAAACCCCCTCCCAACACCATATGCATACTTTGGGGCTGAAACAAGGGTGGTTAGGGTCTCTGATCAGGGTTCTACAGTAGTAAAACCACAAGGTTTTCAACAGAGGGTGCAATTATAGGTCCCTGTTGAGAGGTGGGTCCCACATGAGAGGTAATAACAACAGTCCATTCTTGTTCCCAAAACTTAGACAATGATGGTACTACCACAAGTAGCCCAGGCCAATCATTAAGCTAGAATTTCTTTTGGTATATAACAATGGTCCGAACTGTAATTGTATGTTTTACCCTGGGGCGTCAAAATGCTTGCCCATAACCAGGGTGTTTTGGGGGTGCGACCGAACACCCTTTTTGAACAGTTTACATTAGTGGTATGTTATAATTTTTTTCTATTAAAGAAACTTTTCTGAGTTAAACTTGGGTTATAGGAAACCTCCCCCCCCCCCCCATTTTCACATAACCTGGTTACGAGCCTAGCATGGTAGGCCAGACTGCAACATGAGGCTTGTGTAGGGGATATTCTGCCAAGTATTCCATCCACACATTTTGGAAAATAAGGGCCAGTTTCTGTGTAATTTTTGCAAAACAAGATAGGCCTTGGTCTATCTCTCAACGACAATCTAATGTATGTAGTAGTTATGATTTTGCAAACCTATTTTTCCATGCAAATTTGAGTTGTTTTTCGAGATATCATCTGTGCAAATAAATATTACTTTATACTGTGTACTTTGTACTGTGTGGATGGTACAGTAGGTATTTACAATACACTGAAAAACATACAGTACTCACAGTTAAGCTTGTACAAGATTACTACTACAAAGTTGATGCTAGTATTATAGTATTTTTACATACCGTAGTCTCAATGAAAATTTTTTTTTCAACTTCCTAAATAACCTTTGTGAACTTCTACGTAACCCACTGCAACAATTTACTGTACATCCAGAAAGTTTCTTTAAGAGAATATGTAGCACTCCGGTATGCAATATGAGCTATATTGGGCTACAGTATATAACCATTTTATATAGTTTTGAGGAGTTTTGTTTTGAAAAGACTTAAGTTCACAGGATTTATAAACTCGGTCCTTGTTGTGTTACAGAGAAAGGACTTTTTGTAAATTGGTTTTTTAACAGGATGGGAACTGTGAAAGTAAGGATATAGGAAGCATATTGAAGGATTAGTTAAGAGTGGCAATTATACTTATCCAATCATGTGCTTTGTGTGTGTTGTTAAACTTGGCATAATTGCTACAAGGCTGTTTTAGATCATAAGACATTGAGAACTTTTATTTTTACAGCTCAGCTTCGGAGGTCTTGGCTGGATTCTGTCTGTGGGTTGAAAATGTTACTAATCCTTATATACCAATGAAAACATTATTTTTTGTAATAACCTACTAGGTGGAACTAATTCACTGCTGTGGGGACCATACCCCGCTCCCAGCCTACACCCATATGAACAATATTTACTGAGGTAGCAATTCAGCAGTACTGTAGGTTGCCTCAGCACATGAATACACAAAAACAAACTTTCTAGATTGTTGCGCTTTTTCAAGGCTGGATCCAAGATTTTGCTTAAGAATTTTACCTCAAAACATTTCTTTCTGACCTGTAGTAATAAGGGAGCAGCTTAGTCGGTTGGCTAATCTGGTGGCACCCACTGTGTGGGCGCCGAGCCGTGGAGATCCCTAGGTCCCCAGTTGACTTCCGATCGCTGCTCTCCTTGTGTTTCAACTGGAGGCCAGAAATACAAGTTAAGCCGGGCACTCACTGCACATGAAGGTCATCGGCCTGACGTGATTCTATGAAGAACGCAACGTGACGACGCACGCCAACAGACCGTTCAGGCTGCCACCGACAATCAGCAGACGGTGTCGTCTATCGATCACAGAACTAAGTTTGATTCGTCATGCGACGCAGTGAAGCCCGGCTTTACGAAGATAAGACAACTTTATTGGTCTATTTACATATAAAAAGTACATAAAAACAGAAATGTTCCTTGAATCTGGCGTAAACAATTAGAAAATACATCAACACCAAACCAATCATAAAAAAGACACCAAACATCAAATTACAAATATTAAAATTAAAATTAAATAAAATTATAACTATTATTATTAAAATGTGCAATATGACCCATGTGCGCGCAGTACACTCTTTGGAAAAGAGTAGGGGATTGTCTCCTGGTGTACTGTCCAATTCACCACCAGAAGGATCCTGAAACAAGTCTTCAGACTTCCTGGGTTATCCTTGGTGTGATTCACAAAATACTTGTTTAGTTACAGTATTATGTTCACTGGCGTAATGGGGAGTCACAGGGCATGAGGCAAGAATGTCATTATGGGTGTCATATAAGTGGGCTCAGGGATTTCCCATCACATTAAAACAATACTGTAGCCCCCTGGTTCCTTAATTTCTTTGGCAGGCCAAATGAACAAAAGAAAGCATTCATCTCGTCATCGACGGCCAATCCATCAAAACGTGATGCGAAGTTGGTTATCATTCTGTTTTGATCTTCACTTTATTTCAAAAATATTCCATCAAAATGCTGTATTTGTTTTTTATTTGAATGATTAAAAAATTATTTATATATTTTTTTTTCACCAGGGCCATATAAATTTGGCGTGCAGGCCGCCTATTAAGAATCAGGGCCGTAGTCTATCATATTACTAAAATTTTAATCATATTCAACCTCTGTGAATTCTAGTAGCCCTTTCTTCATTATTTCAGACTATTAAATTTCTTAATGTAGTGTAGCTTGGCTGTAGAACATTAGTCAACATAGAAGATTCGTCCCGCCCCCCAAAAAAAACTAGAGCTTTTTACGATTGTTGTACAGGCCGTTTCTCTTGATTATTGATGCCTTTCTACACAATTTTTAATTTTCAATTTTTTTGAAAGAATTATGTATCAGTCAATCATGCTTAACGTTAATGGGGTGTTACTTAATTATATGCGTGGGTTTAAGCTATATTTTCAGAGAAGTTGGATTTTCTTTGCTCGTTAACCTCAAACAATGAGTTACAGACTGTAATCTTGGGGTACGGCAAATTAATTTGCCGGCTTCTGATGTACAGTACAGTACATTTAATAATCCAATTACCGTTCATGTGTTTTATGTGTTGCTCTCGATAAACAGCACAATTTGCCAGTAGACTCTATCAAAGTCAAACAGAAGCTAACCTCATTTTGTAAAATCTAATAAAAGCACAATTTCTCTCAGCCTATTATTTGCTTGCTTCTATACTGTCAACAATGGCAACACAGCAGATTTATATAACTAAAGGGAAAACTTTTGTTTTTAGGCCCCATACTTCATTCTTCCGGTGTCCGCTTTGCTTCTATGTGCAGGAGGCCCATAACCATGGAAGATCTG